CTTCTCACTTGAAAACATCGCGTCTGTTTGCCAACTCCACGAAAACAAATAGCGGGCTTTTTCAAAGTTGTGTTCATAGAGACATCCACGAAAATTTGCTAGAAAAATCAGTGCTCATAGAAGGTGTCCAAATTGGTCAGAGCGGTCGATTTTTGTTACGTCATCGCTGAGAGGATACCCAGCGTGTTGAAACCCAGCGTGCTGAAGTTAGTGGATAAAGATGTCATACAACTTCAAGGCAGCTTCAGCTGAGCTTAGCGGAACTCCTCAAGCCTACTAGCTTAATTTACCGCGTGGGCTCGTCTTCAAGAAAAACTATAGAGAACTTTCGTATAGCACCTTATCGAAATTTGTAAGCTCAGCCACCTATGCAAGTTCTGCTCACCGTACAGGACTGATCAAAAGGATCTCTACAGGTATGTTCGACAATTTTTTGGCCTGAGGACGCATGCAGTGAGCAGGCCAGCCGCCAACCATGTTAAACCTAACTAGATGGCAAACCCGTGGACTCCCTAGTTCATGCTAAAAGACGGACAGAATTCTTCTGAAAGCTCTCAAGCATTTTATGACATTATACTGCTCGCCTCTGACACCAGCCACCTTTTTGTAAGTGTGAAAACGGAATAAGTGGTGGAAAGGGGGGAGGGGGAGAGAAAATCCATTGTGTTCTGCCTTTCTCCTGCTGAGGTCATTTCTCAGCTAATGGTAAGGATAAAAGCGTTGTTAACACTCAATTGACGCATTTGACGAACATTTTCGACATGGACGGGGTGGAGTATTCTACACCCTCACAGCCTACAAATCGTATTCGATTTTCGCAAGAGGTCACTGGCTCGAAAACACTGAAGCTCCTTCTCCTTGCCCCTTCCCTTGAGCTCACAGTTAGGCAAAAACGTCCAACTTTTGGCTTGAGTTCACTTGTGGCTGGGCGAACCGGAACTTTCGAAGAACAATACCTCAACGAAGTCGATTACATTCTATCGGGTACCCCCAGGAGGCCCGTCGCGCGGCAGAAGGCAAAGTCAGCGGACGAGTCGCGCGCGTACTATAGGGATTTTGCGTCAAGCTAAATAGAGTGTCCCACTGCACGTCCCACATCGCACACACGCGCACGCGCTGTCCAACTCGTTCCGCCTTCTTGCCACGGGACGGCTCCGTTGACCCCATTCATTTCATAGGCTCTTATACAGATTTCCTCACTGAAATTTCCATCCGTCATGTCCCTATCTCACGCTCAAACGTTAGAGGCGCTGTGTTCAAAGGGGTGACCATCCAATTTCATTTCACCCCTCTGAGTTCCCCAAAATCTTTCAAGGGTTCCGGATGCCTAGTGACAGAGCCCGGCTTAGAAAATTCATCCAAAACTTTCACATTCGGAGAGTTTTTTCTTCGGCTTCTTGTCCAGTGTGAATGATCCCTTAAAGTTCGGACAACGTTACGATATTCAGTGTTCTGGTTGTTGTTTTGTTTATTCATCATATTTGTATTGGTGTGTTTACTTATTTTGCATTGTATTTTTCTCTATTTACTTACCACACTTGCAATAAACAACCAAACAAAAAGGTTCACGCTCCGTCAAGTCACGAGGTTGATCATCGAACTCCCTGTTCCAGACTTCAATGACATGTTTACAACGGTGGCAGACTATTGTCCACAGTGCTAGTAACAACCGGAACGATACTTGCTCCGCTACGCAAATACACTCCAACGACACGCGAATTGTGCGCGGGCCAAAAGCCGATTGTCAGAACTTAATCCCTTCTGTCGTCAAACATCTTGCACTACAGTGCCTATCTGGCAAGATGAATGTGGATTCGAATGGTATGATCCAAATCCTATTTTAGGTAGCAAATATTACTGCATGTATCATAATCATGGGAATGGGAGCGATGGAGTATGATATGCCTTCTCGTTGTTGCATGTAATCCTTTCCAAAACTCATAAATATGGGCGAGCTGTCTTATGGGTGTTTGCCTAGAAGAGATTTACTTATAGCTAATAATATTGCATCGACTCCTAGTGGAAACTTGAAATAAATCCGACTTCAGTACACGCTTCGCAGATTTTTTCGGGAACTAGTTGTTGGCAGCTTACATGACTCGCTCGAAGGAAGAAAGACAAGTTACGAAGCTTTATCATTACTGATAGCACGATATTCGCCGGTACGCCGTGCTTTACTGCGCTTCTTCACTTAATCTGACAGCCCAGTGCCTGCCGAGGATCATAGCCTGTGGCGTGTCGCAGTCATGATTGCTCGTTGATGGCACGGTCAAACGTTTGAGACAAATTCGCTGGACTTCCTGCTTCATATTGTTAAGTAAGGCTAAAAGGACAAAGCATTGTTGTATCAATCCCTCTAGCTGCGCGGCATTTTTCCTATATTAATCCTTTTGGACATGCTTGCGCCAAATTGAAACGAACTCCGGAGGTAATGATGCCTGTTGACTCCATAATGACCAGCACCGCCGCTTCGATCACGACGCTCTCAGCTTGGTATAGCACGCGCACTTATACTTACACCCTCCGCCCATTGAAGTGATCACATCGTATCGTCTGTGAAAAAAAAGAAGAAGTTAATATGGTTCAAGAAAACTCAAGAAGCGGCGCCCTGTTTCTCCATATTAAGGTTTTATATGACCTAACCACGGTTGTTGTCGCTTTTTGTATTGTTGTGACAAAGTTTCTTTTTTAATAATTGATGGTACTAGTAATAAACTTGAGCTCCGGTCGAATCCCTTTCATGCACTTCTATCTTTGTCGATAACTTTTTGCTGTGAAAACACTAGACATCGTCTATTTGGATCCAGACTCTACCCTGACCTCGACCCATCATTCTCCCTCATAAGAATCAGTTTTTATCGCGAGGTTGGTTTTTGAAGGATTAATGCTTGTCTCTCTGAGGCCGTAGCTATACTTTCCTATACTCTTCCTTGCCCTTCGTTTATAGTTCGATCGTAGAGTTGCTACTTTGAAATGGGAACTTACCACCGTGTGTTCTTCAGGATGCATCCTCTCAAAAGTATGTTATCGTTGGTGATTGGAAGTTCCCTGCCTTGCCACAATAGCTTTCCCGTTGAACTTGTCCAGTCTGTTGTTCGGCGCCTCGCAGACGATCTCTCCTGAAAATTGCATTCCAGTGAAGAGAAATTGAATGGGGTAGTTTAGTTGCCTGATTGGCCTTGTTGTTGATGAGAAAGAAGGACTGCGTCACCCATTTTGAAGTAACTTACCGTCAAACTTGCTGATAGCGTCGAGATCGTCTCCCATTTCGGCCTGTGTCAGCCATGGCTCCTCTCGTCTTCAAGTTCGTCTCGCCATCCAACTCCATCGTCTCAATGTAACAAATCCCATGAGGCTCTGATGTCGAGAGCAGCAGCAGGTCGGCCTAAATTGTCACTAAGAATCCTATTTCGCAAAGCCCTTCAGTCGGACCAAGTTCAACGAACCGCGACGAACTGATTACTCATCATGCGGATCACGTCGCCCACTTTGACCTTCTCCCATTCCTCTTCGTTCAGATGGCCGTTTCGTACCACGAATGACTTCCGGCCGTTTACATTCCGATCGGAGATATGCCGTTGCTGAAATCACAAACCGATTAGGCCGATAACCGATATGCATGACAAAGGGATGAGTCACACAAGGTGGGCGCAATGTGTCAATCGCGGCATCGCCCGAAATAAGCCGCGATGACTGTGGAACCTGACTGAATGGAACGTGTTGCGAAAAGGATATGGCTCAGATAGTAGATTTTGAACGACCGAGTAGGAGGCTTCAAAGAAAGGTGATACCGCGCTCCACCAAAGTGGGTGAAATTTCATAGATGTAAGCCAAGACGGATACTCCGTCGCAAGGCACTTGTCAACTGCAAGGCTTGGTGTTCAGCGCTTTGTAGTGTTGTCTGGGCGCTCTCGCACAGGCACACTATTACAGCAGTCTGCTTTCTTTCCTTCCTTTGAAAGGCTTAGTCTTAGAAAATCACAAAACATGTATGCTGCTGTCTGGACTCTCATGAGTTGACAAATAAGTTGACAACAGCCCCGTAACCCAGAAACTCACAATTCATGGGTACCAGACTTAAAGGCACCCTCCCCCTCTATCATGGAGTTCTACTCCTCGAACACGAAACTGGGAATATGGAGTGGGCCGACAGTTGAGAAAAGAGGAAAATGAACCCTCAAAAACACTAGAAATACGATCCTCATTGTTTTATTCCGAGGAGCAGCCTAGGAAGCAGACAGCGACATAAGAGATAATGAGAGCCTAGGGAGAGAGAGAAGACTTCGAGGCGTGAGAGCATAGCAGATCAGAGATACGGCACAGATAGGATACAGGGTGCAGGTGGGTGTGCACGGATCCAAAAGAAGTACGGTGGTCTGAGTTTTAACTCCTCGGGTTTTCGTGACACGTTTTGAGGCGCGAATCTGGCCCGATATATGCAGTTGCCGGGTCCTACTTGAACTGATTGCGGATTTCGCCATTAATTCAGTAAAAATTTGTTCATGGGAATTGGAACCAGGAAATCAAGATCTCTAACTCGAACATCATGAAAATCTCATTCGAAGGAATTGTAGGAACAACTTCTGGACGACTAGTAGCTGCAAAGTTGCAGATGGTTGACCCTCTTTTTAGCTCCTATGAGGCATATAAACAATCTATGAAGGTAGTACAATCACGCGAAGCGTTCTTCTCCAAGCCTTCTCTGCAGCACTGGGTCTGCTCTGGGCCGTAAGGTATGTGCTTCCCCGAATGGTTGCGGGGACGAAAGTCCCTTTAAATTTTTTGTTTTGAACGATACTGTTTCTTTATTTTCAATGCATGCTTACTTTAAGCTACACACATATATTAGATGTAGGCCCTTTATCAGGACAATCCCAGTTGGGACTACAGAGAAAATTTAAAGGAACTTTCGTCCCCTAACCCTTCGGGGAAGCATACCTTACGGCCCCTGAGATCCCAGAATCGACTTCAAAGAAAACCTTACGAGATTACTATAGCTCAAAATTGTCTCAAATTAAATGCCTGACCTGAATGGGTTGAGGATCCCTCTACTGAGCAGGACGATCTGCGGACCATGCAACCACTAGTTGCGGCAAGTGTCCAAAATTTACGCTTTGGGAAACATCTTGGACAGATTGATGAGTTCCCCAATGTCATCACAATGAGCTTGAGGGAGATGCAGAAGGTTGGCTGCACCGATTCGTAAAGATGGCACACTGCTGTTCTACAGGGGCTGATTGTGAATTTCAAAATAGAACACTCAATCCTGAGAAGAAATGCTTCAGAATGCCATCCCTCTGAAATGGTATCAATACATTCATATTTATGCCCAAAATCAAAGGTACCGTTTGAACCGGCCACGATAGGTGATTATCACCGAGAGCTGTATGGCTAACGAAGGCACCTTTTGAAGTAACTGATTAACCGTCCACCCATAATTTTCAAGCTGGAAGTTTTTTATTTTGTTATAAATTATTTGTTTTTTTTTCACCGTAGCTGATTTTAGAAATGGGATTATAGGGTCAGATCAACCTTGCTGAATACCGTACCGCCGAGAGGTTCTTCCTCTTTCAGTCAGCTTCTCCATCCATTTTCTGGAGCATCCCCTTTTCAGCCATCGCCATTTGAAGAAACAGCTCCGCTTGTCCTCTGTACGGGGTCATAAGCTGTTCCTCTTGAGCTGATGCACCTCTGCCTCATCTATTTTGACACACTGCTAGCCTTAATGCCGAAGCAGCGCCAATTTATTTCTACCGCACCACATGGTCCTGTTTGGCGGAATTCCCTCCAAGAAATCGAATAAATCTAAAGGGCCCCTCAGCTGGAGAATGGCCAGGATATGGTCCACGATAACAAACGCTGGAAACCAGTCCTTTTCATGATAATGCTTCAAGTCCCGATACTGGGTAAGATGACCGTTAATGATACAGTTCTCATTGATGTCTCCGAATCATTCTCAGAACTGCGATTACGAGAACCTAAGAACAGTTAACGACTCGGGCCAAATAATCGTCTGGGAAGTACTTGCTTCACTTGCCAGCGGCTAATTGACATACACGGATTTCTGGAAACATCCCATGAAAGGAAATCCCTGAAGAGTTTGGAAACGATCGAGCAGGTCCTCCTGGGTTTTATTTATGAAAGGTCTTTGCGCTATCGCAAGATACGGGGGAATTGTAGTGGCAACCAGGGTGAATAACGGTCGAGGAATTCCTCGACCATGGCTCTCTACTGTGCGAGAGTAGTGTCGAGAGTGAATGCATGCGCGGAGAGCACAGACGGCTCGCGGGTGGCGAGAGTGAGCATCCGCGTGGGAGAGCGTGAAAGAAATCCTCGACGAGCCGTTGTCTTTTCCTCAAGCGATTTTCACCCTGGTCAACACATCCAAAATCATGTAAAACCTCTTTTTTGTCAAAAATGAGACCAAGGCATCATAGGTGAGGAAGAGAGAATGAGCGTGAGCAATTTCCATTTTCGCAAAAATTCCTGCCCCCTCTTCGGCCTAGCCCTATAGAATGTCCCCACATATTGCGATAGCGCCAAATTCTTTATTTGGTGCTTGGGTCAGAAGGCAGCTTTACTCACCTTGGGATGTGGTATGGTTCTATTCCCCAAGAAACCTATGGTGATGGAGAAAAACAATTACCCTGTAGGTCAAGCAGAAGCAGAAGAAAGCGAGGAAGCACCAGCGGGATTTGTCAACTATTAAGAGTCAATAAAGACAACCGAAGAAGACTCACCATATCGTCATAACCGTCCTTTACAGCACTGAATGCCAAAACGATAACTAGCGGAATAGCTGTGGAATACCATGATATGGAAGATATTTGAGGTATAAACTAAATTCTGAGAATTAATACTCCATACTGTTTGTATGACAGGTACAATACCCACCCTAACTTTTCAGAAAATATAAACTATAAAAACGCGAAGGGGTGGGTATTGCAGATATTCCCTTACCTGTAATATCATAAGGACTAAAAAATAGAAATTTGCTATCCGTTGAAATTGTTCGAATAAATTCTGCGGAATGAATGTG